ACACACATACACACACACACACACACACACACACACACACACACAGACACACAAACAAATACAAACATCAAAACAAAAACACACGAAACAGACTGCTTAAATCCTCATTTCCCGCTTATTTTTAACAATGTCATTCGGATCTTAAATCATTTGGTTTCAACTCATATTTTAGTCCCCTTTTATATGCCCAGGGCAATTTTGAACCTTTCCGACACTTGTAATCAATCGTTTATTAATCCAAGTCAACCTGCAATAATCATTACTTCGAGATTTATTCACTTGACAATGGTCTTAGAATTTTGCTCCCACACATCTTGTCCTTGGCTCCTCGGTTGTTTTTTTCCCTCACTATTTTCGCTTAAAAAATCTGAAGTACACACTTTGCGTTACAAGGTAATCTGCTTTTTTTCTTTTTCGTGTGTCCTTCTTTCTGTTGTTCTGATAAATTCTCACTAGCCTGCTTTTCTTCCTTGTTTTAAAAGAAATTTCTTTTCTTTATTGGCCTTTTATAAAAGATCCCTGTTAATTTATTCTTCTTCAGATCGACCGGAGGGAAAAAAAGAAAGAAGAGCGCCCGCTTTTCACACCAGCTCCCGTCTTCTCATTGCAAAATTATCAATCTTTTTCTGCGCAGCCCCGCATATTTTGTCCCTCTCCAGGGCTGGTTTCTCCCCTCCTCCCCGCCCTAGGGCTCCCTTGCGCTGTCAAAGGGCAGTAAACAATGACGGTTCGGAGTGTCCAACCGGACATCTGCCGCTTTTGGTCAGAACTTGCGGAAAATCCGGGGACTTGGAGACAAAAAGAAGATAGAGCGTGGGAAACTCATAGAAGAGTTGGGAGTCTGAAAGGAGCGGAGGGGCGCTGGCTCAACGAGGGCGTACTGAAGGGTTGGAGGTTTGTATGAGAGTAGAGCTATTCAATGGAGCCTCGTGAGTCCTCGAGGCCTAGCGGGGGAGAAGAAAGGGAAGCGATGATGAGGGGGCCAGCTAGCAGGGCGAGGTCAAGAGAGCTGTGACAGCAGCCACTGTGTGGCTCCAGCTGGGCAGCGAACCGATTCAGACGGGTCTGGAACATTGGGTCGGCTGAATTCAAATAAATGGGTACACTCGAATTTCGATACAGCTTCTATTCGGCCAAGTTTGAGAGAGCAGGGAGAGAGAGAACAATCAAACAAACAATTTGCTTAACTCCCCCACCCCCATCCCCGTCCCCTATTTCCTCCCTCCAGTTCTCCACCCCATGTTCATCTCCAGAAAGATTGAAATTCCGCGAACTGGTTAAAAAACTTAACCTTACTCATTATAAGGAATCAAACAGAAATGTGGGCCAGAAAAGCTCGTCACAAATACGCAAACCCAATGCTACCAGAACCTGAGCTCTTGAAATGTGCCCTGTGAATTTAGTGAGAAGTGCCAACCCTCAAAATAAAAAAAAGAAGAGAAGAGAAAAGAAAAAAAAGAAAGAAAGCAAAATGTTTGGAAAAGGAGAGTAGGCTTATATCCGGATAATAAATGCATCTCCCCCCCCCCCCCCCAAGTCTGGATATCCGGATCACTCGTCACCGCTTATGCTTCTGATCTTCCCTCTGTGGGCGTGCAGCGTGTGTGCAGAGCTTGGGTGGGTGTGGCTCGGGTGTGGCTCGGGTGAGTGAGGTTGGTATAGGTGACATAGGTCGTCCTGGTGAGCAGATTGCTGCTTCAGATGATACCGGGACAATCCCTTCCCGGAAATTCCTTTGATCAAAGGAGCAGAAGACAGCTGTTTGAGACTGATTGTCAATGTTTTTGTGCTCCCCATTGACAAAATTTAGATCATTAAGGAGGCGGTCGCTTTGACCCTGCCTTTCTACCTGGGATAGGCTAACAACATGTTCATAGAAAAAGGAAGATTTTTAGATGAAATAAACTTCATCTAAGGAGAATGATACTCACGTTTTCTTCGCACAATGCGAAGAGCCTTAACTTTAGACCACATGCAGGTGGAGGTTGAGAAAAGGACAGGAAAGCAAAAAAAATCGAAACACAATAATAACGTTCGAGTATTAAAGTCAGTTCCCCTGAAATGGTCCTAAACATTTTATGTTTGCTCTACGTTTCTATTATTATTCTCTTGTTTGGTTGGCGAGAGAAAAGAGGATGAGAAGAAGGAGGAAGAGAATGAAAAAGAGGAGGATGCGGATGAGAAAGAGGACGACGAAGAGAAGGAGAAGGATATGGAAATGTAAGGAGAAGAAGGAGGCAAAGGGTCATGAGGAAAAGGTGGAAGCTGACGCCGAGGTATACAAGGTAGGCTGGGAGGTAGACATGAGGAGATAAGGGAATCGGAGGAATATGGTCAGGATAATGAATTGGTTGAGCAGTAGATAAGAAGCTGAGGAGGAGGAGGAGATATGTTGAAAGCATTTAATACTTTTTGAAAAGTATATACCATCATGGCATTACTCTCAGAGATGGTGATTGGAATGAGATGCACATAGGACTTGAATTTATGAGAAAGTCATTATATCAACCAAAACAACACCCGTTATGGCTTTTATCAATAAATCCGACGTTTATACAGTATCCAGCAGGCCCAAAGTGACATGATCCAAATTCTAGTATTATTTTTATAGCACACGTTTGAAAAGAAAGCAGCGATGCTGAATCAATGCTTGAGGCTAATAAACGAAGTGTGCATATTGAGTGGCCATGAGACGCACCAGGTCCAATGCCTGAGTCACAAAGACAAATTGAATAGCCATGTGTGTTTATTGGCTTAACTCTGCCTAAAATAAATATTCCTTCTTTACCGTACTTGTTTCTAGAACAGATTCTGGTTCAAACAAATGTTACTGTTAAAAGAGGTTGTTGTGTTTTACGGTGAGGATGTTATTACGGTAGCTGCTTTTTTAAAACGTATATTTATTCCAAAATGTCATTGCCATTACTCATGTTATTGTAAGCTTGATGACGGCGTGACCCCGAGATTCCAGTTAAAAATCACGTGCATCATCGTCACTGGATCTAAAAATGGGATTAGTTGCCGGCATGTGACCTTTTACAGAAAGGGGAAATATTGGGAGATGGAAGAAAGATCAGTGACGGATTGAGTGTGTCGTTTCATTTCTGCTATTATAGCCTCCGCTGGTGTTGTTGCTGCTCTTGCTCTGCTTTTCGTGATTGTTATAGTTGTTTGCTTTCTACAAAACCTTTGCAAACGCACTTCTGGAAACTTCTGTTGCAATACATCGTGGTGAAGATGGATTCAAGGGTATTGTTCCTGGTGGCGCGTCAATTTTTGAATCTAAGAAATCTGCAATATTAATGTTGTTATTTTCTGGGAAATTTCCTTTCGACGCCGTGCCAGTAAAGGATAAAACTTTCCTCCTCAGAAACAAGCAAATTGGTATTGGTAGAGTGTAAACATAAGAAGTAGAAATAATAATAATGATATTAATAAACATGATAATACTAATATTTCTTAAATTTAAAAAAAAATGATTAATGGTAATAACAATAATAACAATAATAACAAAAATACCTGTAATAACAGTAATAATAACAACAATAATAATTGTAGTAATAATAAGAAAAATGTTGATGATGATGATGATGATGATGATGATGATGATGATGATGATGATGATGATGATAACAGTATTAAGAGTAATATATGTATTAATAATACAAAGCAGTTGTGTATGAATTCGAAGAGGAGAGGAGGTCGGATGCTTCCCCGGGAACACCTTCCTTCTGTTGGTGGGGATCTGAAAGGGAGGATCCGATGTAGCGCTCTATCCCATAAAAATATAAGCTCTGAGCGAGTTGCATCTATAACATGATTGCTGAAGACACAATAATTTAAACTCTTTCTGTACCAAACGACTATCCATCGGTGCCTTTCCTCTTACTGTTTGTGTGAGATAACCCGTTTTCACCTTTACAAATCGCTTTCAGAAATAAGCTGACTAACTAAACGACTCATGTCGTAATGTATTTGCATTTATGACTGGCAAACTTTTCAAAAATTTGCTCCAAATGCTCTATGTTATGTTGTTCGCATTATAATAAGTCTCTAACTCCAAAGAAAAAAAATACAACACAAGACCTCCAGATATCTGGTATTTGGCTGTATGAACCGATTAGAGTTTTATTTTTTTGATTGATTTGCACGAATTGTGAGCTTTTTCGTAAAAATATGTTGTAACAAGACATTATCACCTATTAAAACATTAAGACCTTTTTGTGAATTATTTACTTTCCTCTTTTTTTCATGAAAGGGTTTGGGTATACTGTGCTGAGCTCAATCCTTCTTGGGGCGACTTTCCCTGTTATTTTTACTTATGAATTTCAAAGCAGTTAAAAATAACCTTCTGTATCTGATGCCCTCCCACCCCTCCCCACTTGCTGATTGTGCTTGAAAAAAATATATCGCTCTTTCCCATTTAGCGTACGGTACACTTTGCACCTAGAATACAGCCAACAATGTCCTACTTCCTGGTCTGTCTCCACCCGCGAGCTCAAAGCTCAAAGCTCAAGGAGCTGTCGCCCCGCAACGACTTGAAGGTCATTCTTTACAGAGCCCTTGGATTACGAAGTGTGATCCCATCGAACGCCAGGAGGCCGGAGACAAAAGAGGAGTAAATTTATGCTGCGGCCATTTCCTTTACACCTCCTCGCATTGTTGTGTGTTTTTGTAAGGTCTTTTTTTCCCTTCACTCCTTCTTTCCTCTTTTCTCTCCTTGTATCCCCATGCACGTAGCGTCTGTCGAATTGTCTGCACAGGGGCTGCACAATTTTTAAAGCTCAGGTCAAGGTGAGCTGATCACGTGGTTGACAGAGGGTTTTTAGGTCAGTGGGTCGTGTTGCTGATTGGCACGAATGATCGTATCAAAAGCAGGGAAAAAATTAACAACGAAACAAAAATGGCGACCGCTGACTCCGTTAAAAAGAAGCACGTGCTTCCGTTCCCTCGATGTCGAATCAATGCTGTCCAATTTGCTCTTTTCCTCTCTTGTAAGATCATTTGAGCAGACTTCTTTTTTTTTTTACGCTGACGCTGTAGATGGAGTCAAACAAATGTCACTGGAAAATATACGTGGGCAGAACTTAATAGTGTATATATCGTTCAATCAGTACTGGTCTTGTCTGCCAGTGATCGTTTTCAATAATTTACTCGTAGCTCACTTAGGGTTTTCCCCCATTTTTCCACCTCGTTGGTGGACGCTGTAAACAAAACTATTGTAAACCTTTGGATTTATTATACATCTTCAGTCATTTTCTTACGATGCCAAGACGGTTGTAAGTATTCTGAATTGCTCAGGTTCGACACCGGACACGTTTGTTTTCTTCAAGAACGCCGTTGCTCAAATAGCTGCTTTAAAAAAATAATTCTAAAGCGGTGTAGTGTGACTCAAATGAAAGGTCATGACCATGCTTGAAAATATATCATAGACGTGATTACAGCAGCTGCCATCGGAGTCCTTTCCTGAAGGTTTGTCTTGTTCTGTCGATAAAGTAACTTGCTCAGTATATCATACCCAGAACAGAATAAATTGTTGTAATTTTGAGAATGTTTCAAAGACTGTATATTTCAACTATTCGTTTGTGTATTGTTAGACATGTGCATGTTTCATGGGAATTGGAAAAGTGAGTTGATCAAGTTAGCTTTCAATAAATGCTGCAAATAAGAGTGTGAATCAAGAGTCACATTTAAAGTAGGCTTCAGGCTCTGTTTTAAAACAGCAATTGACATCATTACATACGCTTTAGGAAGTCTCACTAACCAGGGATCTTCAACAATCCGTATTGCATTGATAACATTTAATATCAAATTAGACATTTTGAGCAATGTGCGACTATTGGCTCTTTTACAGCTAGATCTACCCATTTATTGTTGTTGGTTTGACATTTATCTATGTGCGTTGACTGATAAAGGGTTGTGATTTGTCTAAATAAAAAGAAGTTGGTGTTAATCAGCTGCATCGGGTTGGACTTCGGTACCGATAACCCAAATAGGCCGTTCTGTTGGGTTTGCTGGGGTTAAAAGGTTCTTTCCCTACTTTGCTCGATCCTTTCGGAGAAGAACGTTATATTCAAAGACACTTTATCTTAAACAACTCTACAATGTTGCTATTTGTGTGAACACCATGCCATACCATACCATACCATACCATACCATACCATACCATACCATACCATACCATACCATGCCATGCCATACCATACCATACCATGCCATGCCATGCCATGCCATACCATACAATACCTTACCATACCTTACCATACCATGCCACATCACACTACACCTGACCAAACGTCACCATAATATTATGAGTAAGCTCCAGTGTCTGTGATGTACCGGTTAGATGCTAGGCTGTAACACACAGAAGACCTGCGTTCGATTGCAGAGAGGAGAGAGTCTTTATCGCATAACTCGGCCTTTCTGCTGGAATGCTGTATCCCTCTTGCCACAGATTGGCCCTGACAACCCAGATAGAGGCGTGCCTCCTAAATTATCTAAATTGTGTCGAGGTAGACATTAAGAATACCGACATTTACATCTAAATTTTTGAAGAAGCACTTACGTTCTTTTGTGAGCAAAAAAGGTAGCGACGGGACAATACAGCTCGCTCAGCCACTACGTCAGCAGGCGACTCCCACCATAAATATCTCTGTAATGCCTCCTTTTTTCTTGGCTTATATGGGCCTTTCAGACTTCAAACATTTGTAAGGGTGCAAGCTCAAATTGAATGAAGCCTGCTTTCAAATTACCTTTTCCCGAAGGTCTTCCGAACCGCATAGAGAGATTTGACGAGACAGTGTGTTGGGACAGAGACAAAGTCTAGCAGCAGCTTAAAGGTCATACTGAACTTTTGAATGTAATAAACTTGTAAGCCTACTAGTCTTAGTGAAGTGGTCAGGTTGCTTTGAATAAAACTTTAAAAATAATAGTGAGCTTTGTTATAATAAAAAATTCGGCGAATAATTACAATCTAGTTAAGAGAAAACAACTGTCCCCCCGTCTCTCTCTCTCTCTCTCTCTCTCTCTCTCTCTCTCTCTCTCTCTCTCTCTCTCTCTCTCTCTCTGTCTCTCTGTCTCTCATTGTCTCTCTGTCTGTCTCTCTGTCTGTTTGTCGATCTGTCTGTCTGCCTGCCTGTCTATCTATCTGTAGCTCTCTCCCTGTCTCTCTCTCTCTCTCTCTCTCTCTTTGTGCCTCCCCCCCTCTCTCTCCCCCCCTCTCTCTCGTTCTGTGCCTCTCTCTCCCCCCAACAACCCCCTCAGAAGCTCTTGTTTTTCTTTTCTCTGAGTCTCTGCCTAACTGTGATAATAATTTTTACTTTTCTTGTTTTTCTTTCAGATTTTTGCCTTTATAATATCTTTTCTCTTTGGCAATAAATGTTGAATATTCAGGAAAATTACTGAATCAAAATTTGACTTTGAAGACGGGAGAATTTAATTGAACAAATAATACACCAGGTGCATGGCCTATTTCACTACCATTAGCAACTGACTACAAGCCCTGTGTTTGACTTCAGTAAGAGAAACAAATAATGCAAATGAACAGGACTGCTGTGCCAAAGACCTTAGCTCCGAGTCCCAAAAGGCCGAAATTTGAATTTGGGTTCTATGAGTGTCTCCAAGGCTCTTTATTCTTCGTCAGCTTTGCTCGATCTTATCAAAAATTTGCGTTACACCTCGTAAATTCCGTTTTACTGTATATAGGGGTGTTAAGAAAATACGAAACAATGACGTCAAATGTAAAAGCGATGGAACAGACAGGTGTAATACTCCAAAAGTAGGACCCAAAAAATTTACTTGACAAGAACAGTATAAGAGAAAAGTAAATAAGCTTTGATAACGGGATTTCGGGGGGGGGGGGCTGAAAAAAGAACACGACAGTAATTGGGATAATACATTCTAAAGACAGGTTCAGAGGTTGTGTCAGAGGCCGGTAGAAGAATGGATGCTCGAAGAGGCTGGTTCAGGGGGCATCTTATGGATTGATGGCCTCGCAATCCCCACTTACGTTGGGTCGCGTTAGGTGTCACCTTGGGTCGTTAACGACCTCGAACCCATTAAATTCAAAGCACTTAACCCCATTTTCAGCTGAAAGAACTCTTAGATTCGGACAATTGCTTGAAAAAGAGAGAGAGAGAGAGAGAGAGAGAGAGAGAGAGAGAGAGAGAGAGAGAGAGAGAAGGAGAGAGAGAGGTGAGAGAGAGATGGAGAGACACAATGAGAGAGAGAGACAGAGAGGGAGAGAGAGAGAGGGGGGGGGGGTAGAGGGAGGCGGTATGAGGAACGGGGAGGGGGTGACGGACGAAAAAGAGTGGGGAGTTGAAGGAAAATAAAATCCAATTTCAAAGGAAAGAAAAGATACACTGATCAGAGAATGTGGAAAAAAAGAATAATCTGACTGCCTGTTTTATGCTCCCATTGATATAATTGCGATTACATTATAAAACATGCAACTTCATCCTGCTTCTCTGGCTGAGCTGCATAGAGCATCCTTTCAAACAGTCATCAAAACTTTCCTAACTCGAGAATCAAACTCATGTCTTTTGCATGCAACATTGAAGTACCTAACCAGTTCACCACCGTAACAGGTGGAAAGGAAAGGAATAAGAGTGAAGTAGATATAGATTCTGTAGGAAAAAGTGGTGCGAAGTTGATTGAATAAATTATACTAGAAAAGAAAAGGCCATAATAAAAACTGAGAATTTTGGTAGCTAACACAGAAGAGGAAAACGAGAGGGAGATCGAGTAAAGAGAGAAAGAAAGAAGGAAATCCCTATGTGCACTAAAAGGAATAAAGGACAATAATACTAAGAGGGGAAAGTGAAAAGAGTAAGGAAGGAGGTAATTGGATTTTTTTCCTCCCATGGTTGTTGTTTGTTCTGATTCTCGTTTTTTCTTTTTACTTTGTCTTTTATTTGGGGCAGAAAACTGGTTTAAAGTGCACCTTGGCTGCTGCTGTTAACCCCAGGTGCATGTAGATCACACAAGCCTCAAGGTCATTATGCATTCGGCAGTAATTGAAACGACCCTTTAGTTACCGCTTCAACCTTAGACTTTAGACCCAGACTGTCGTAACCCATGACTTTTTTTCTTTGTTCTCTTTCAGTGTCTCGCCGCAATCGATCACACTTTTCGATTTTCAAAGTCCCACCCCCAAATCACATTCAAATAAAATCTGCCAATCCCCTCCCTTCCTTCCCCGGCGTTTTGAAATGAGGTTGTCTTTTCTTCTGTTCGTATCTTCCCTTTTTCCCCTATTGTTTTCCTTTCCTTGTCAATTATTTCGAGGTTTTGTGGGGGTTTTTTCTCCCTCTTCTTCTTGTCTTTCTTTTTTCTTCTTTTTAACCCTTTATGTCTTGTCACCTCTGCGTCTTTTTACGTGTAGTGTCTACTTCAGGCTGTCAATGCACTGGGCGCGTCCCCTCCTGCTGTTGCACAGTCTTTTCTTATGCAAAACTAAAGACACAAGGGGACTTTATGTCTGGGGCAAGAAAAATAAGATTTCCCCTTTTTCTGAAAAAGAGGGGATAGGTCTTTATTTTTACATTTTTAAAACTTGTTTGTTTTTGTTTTGTTTTGGTTTTGTTTTGTTTTTGAGGGGTGGGGGG